CGTTAAAATTTTTGATGTGTTATAACTTCCTTGTTGTTGTAGTATTTGTACAAAAAAGTAGTATTGTGTAGAATTGTTTACCGCGGAAAAAAATCGTTAGATTACCAGTATTCGACCCTTTTAAATGTAATAAACGCTTTCGATCGAAAAATATGTTACCTATGTTTTTTCTGAGTTACGCTCTTTTTGGAAAAATAAAGGAGATCACATTCTTGTCCAGTGGCCCAAATTATGCAAAAAAAACTCCTTTAAAAATGTAATTTTCATTTCGTAAAATTGTGTTTTTATACGAGTATTTAGTTCCTTCAAACGATGTATTTCAATGTACATACATCAAGAAAATTTTGTACAAAATTCCTTAGGCGCCGAACGCCGCTGCCGCCACGCCGTGAGGAATGACAAAAAACGGTGGCGGTTTGGAGTGCGTTCAATCACATACACAGCGTCCGCCGCTGTGGTGTAGTGGTTAGCAGTGCGCGCTTCCACTCCGCAGGGCCTGGGTTCAAGCCCTGGTCAAAGCACCATCGCAAAACAATTTAGAAACAAGTAAGAAAGTCTAAGTTCGGGAGGAGCCGAACATTAAATACCCGGCGCAAGTATTTAATATATGACTTTCACCTTTCCGAAAGCTACCGCTACATAGTAAGCCGGGGCGTATTAATGTTGAGTAAATTAGAGTCCTTAAATTTCGAAATTTTGAAGTTTCAAGCAGTTCTGAAATTTATCGTTATATGAAAAGCGGCCTCAATTTTAGTCCGATTTCAATAATTTTCAACGTTTTGCTTTTATGTGGGAAGCTCAATAACCATACCGAGTTTGGTACAAAGTGTTAGAACGGTTACCGAGATACATATATCTGATCATAAGTGCGCGGTGCCACGCCCATTTTCCAAAATTGTATCACAAACCTATTTCTTGGTTAAGAATTGTTGCAAGCATCAATTTTGAATAAATTAGCTTTAATATTTACTGACTTATCGAAGATTTTGTATTTCTCTAAATTACCGTTATATGGGATGTGGGCGTGGTTATTGGCCGATTTTAAAAATTTTCGGCCATTTGGTATGTTTTAGCAAGGCCAACACTGCCAAATTTGAAAGAAATTGGTGCAGCGGTTACCAAGATATACACATGTAACCATAAGTGGGCGTGGCTACGCCCATTTTCCAAAAATGTATAATATTCTTATTTTTCGTCTAAAACTTGTTGTAAATATCAATTTTGAGTCCATCCAGTAGTGAGTAATCTCCAGTAGTTACTAAAATATCGCCGTTTTCGTATTTCTGAAAATTACCGTTATATGGGAAGTGGGTGTGGTTACGGTCCGATTTCGCCCATTTTCAATACCAACCTACCTTGGATAAATGGAAACCCACATACCAAATTTCGTTGAGATATCTCAATTTTTGCTCGAGTTATCGTGTACACGGACGGACGGACAGACGGACGGACAGACGGACGGGCAGACAGACATGGCTTAATCGACTTCTCTATTCATTCTGAGCATTTATGTATACATTTGTCTATATCTATCTCGAATCGTTTTAACTGTTACAAACAACCGTTATGTGAACAAAGTTCATATACCCTTGTGCACAAGTGCGTAAAAGGTATTTTCATAACAGTGCACATAGAAGTATTTGAACGATTTAGGTTAGGTTAGGTTAGGTTGAAGTGGCTGCTAGGCCCAGAGGGCGCCAGCACACTTAGGCCCGATCAGGGCCCATTGTGATACCACATGGATCCAAAGAAAACCCCTATTCCTTAAACCAGTTTGTGGAGTCTGCAAACCTTAGCAACTGCCGTATTCCAAACTTAGCAGTCGCGCTTAGATCGTCTAGAAGACCTATACCTAGGAATTTCTGTCTTTTCCTGCCCAGTGCTGGGCAATCGCAGAGTAAGTGCCTTATTGATTCAGGCTCTTCTTCGTCATGGCAGCTCCTGCAGTAGTCGTTGTGACTAACCCCGAGGCGTTCTGCGTGCCTTCCTATCAAAATATGTCCTGTGAGCAGACCAATGGCCAGTGACATATCGCCTTTATTGAGAGTGAGAATTTCTCTCGATCTCCGTACATCCCATTTTGGCCATGTAAGCTTCGTTGTATTACAGTTTTCAGTGCGCTCCCATCTGGAGGCCGCTTCTTCAAGGAAGTTCTCCCTTAGTAAGAGCTTGCAGGAAGCGAGTGGCATACCCACCCTCTTCCAGGCTGGTGAAAGTGGAGAGGAAGTACCCGCCCTTGCAAGCTCGTCTGCCTTCTCATTTCCTGGTATGTCACTGTGCCCCGGTACCCATACCAGGTGCAAAGCGAACTGCTCTGCCATCACGTTAAGTGATTTGCGGCAGTTGGCAACTGTTTCCGAATTTACAGTGACAGAGTCAAGCGCCATAAGGGCCGCCTGGCTGTCTGAGTATATATATATTTCCGTAGTGGCGATAACAGCCAGTTTTAGGCTGTCAACGGCTTCTTGTATGGCTGCCAATTCGGCTTGAAAGACACTACAGTGGTCAGGTAGTCGGAATGATCTTTTTATTCCCAATTTCTCCGAGTAGACGCCTCCTCCTACCCTATTTTCTAGTTTGGAGCCGTCCGTGTAGAATCTTATGGCATCTTTAGACCCCGGAACTCCTTCGAGCCATGATTCCCTGCTAGGTAGCATTACGCTATAACCTTTAGTGAAAGTGAGCCTTGTACACAGTAGTCCTTTGTACTCGGTAGTTGTCGGTTTCTCAGAATTGTAGTGTGACCACAGCGAGCCACTTTCCAGCTTTTAAGCCCCTGTAGTCTTAGGGCTGCAAACGCAGCGTATTGTCGTCCCATGATATCTATGGGTATGATGTTGAGGATCGTGTTCATTGCCATAGTAGGTGTTGTGCGGAGAGCACCACTAATGCAGATCAGGGCCGTTCTCTCCACTTTTTGTAATTTAATAATGTTTACTTTCTTCTCCAGCACTGGCCACCATACCACTACCCCGTACAGAAGTATGGGCCTCACCACGACGGTGTATATCCAGTGCACTAGCTTCGGGGTTAAACCCCATTTTTGGCCGATTGCTCTCCTGCAGCTGTATAGGGCAACCGTGGCCTTCCGCACCCGCTCTTCGGTGTTTTGAATCCGGCTTAATTTTCTATCTAGTACTATCCCCAGGTATTTAGCGGATTCGCTTAATTTTAGTGTGGTCTGTGCCAGCCTTGGTGTTATCAATGGGGGGATTTTGTACCTTCTTGTGAACAGTACAAGTTCTGTCTTGCTTGGGTTTACCCCTAGCCCGTTATTTTTTGTCCAACTCTCGACTTCCTTCTGTTTTACCTGCATAATGTCACATAGAGTCTGTGGAAATTTCCCACTTACTGTTAGTGCAAGATCATCCGCATACGCAATAACCTTACAGCCACCCCCCTCCATGCCACACAGCAGTGAGTTTACCGCTGCGACCCATAAAAGAGGGGATAGGACTCCCCCTTGCGGGGTGCCCCTCTCTACGAACCTGGTCAACGATACCCCCGCCAGCTCCGCCCGGACCACCCTGCATCGCAGCATTTGGTTTACGAGCGCAACTAAGCGCGAGTCGATGCCCAGGCCCGCCAGTGCTGCCGTTATCGCGCCCGGCATGATGTTCTTAAAGGCGCCCTCTATATCCAGGAAGGCTGCTAGCGTATATTCTTTGATGTCTAGTGATCTCTCTATATACGACACTATCTCATGTAGCGCCGTTTCTGTAGATCTACCTTTCGTATAAGCATGTTGTGTGGTAGAGAGTCTGTCACCAACCGACTCTCTGATACGGACCTCCACCAGTCTCTCCATAACCTTCAGTTGAAATGACGACAAGGTGATGGGCCTGAAATCCTTTGGGTTATTGTGAGACACCTTCCCTGCCTTGGGGATGAACACCACTCCTGATTCCCTCCACTTTCTAGGGATATGGTTAAGAGCTAATACTCCCCTAATTATAGCGTGTAGCCACGCTGAGCTTAGCTGAAGTGTTTGGTGCAGCTGTATGGGGGCAATGCCATCCGGACCTGCTGATTTATAGGGCTTAAATGTCCCAATAGACCAGATGACCTTTTCCCTAGTGAGGAAATCTCCAGTGACCGAAAGATCTCCAGTTAGATGTGGCTGTACCGGCATGCTATCCGTGGCACCCGGGAAGTGTGTGCAAAGAAGCAGATCCAGTGATTCCTCCTCGGTCTCTGTCCAGGAGCCGTCAGGTCTTTGCAAGCATCCTGGGGCTTTCTGGGCAGTACCTGAGAGTATCTTTCTGAGCCTGCCTGCCTCTGAGATAGACTCCACCCCATTGCAGAAGTCTTTCCATGAGGTTCTTTTCGACCTTCTTAGGAGCTTCTTGTACTCCCGTAACGCTGTCTTGTAGGTCTCCCAATGTCCCTCACTACCAGACGCAGTAGCCTGATTGAAGGTTTTCCTGCAGTTCTTGCGTGAAATCCTGATTTCTTCATTCCACCAGGGTGGCTTTTTCCTACCCCGGTGCTGCTTTTTGGGGCATGCAATGTCTATTGCCTTTCTGCAGGCCCCCGTAAAATGGTCGACAAGATATTCCAGCTCCTCTAGGTTTGCTGGAGTAGCCGGCTCTCTATCTTGTGGCAAAAGCCTATCCAGCTCTTTCCGATACCTATGCCAGTTGGCATTTCGCAAGTTTCTAGTTAGAGGAGCCTTGGGCGTTTCCCCTAATACCTCGAATTGGATATATCGGTGGTCGGAAAAGGAGTGCTCCTCAAGCACCTTCCACTTCCCGACCAGACATTCCGCATTCTCAGAGATAAGGGTAACGTCCAGAACTTCCCTTCGGGATTTTGTAATAAAAGTGGGATCATTCCCTCTATTCGCAATAACAAGCTTAGAACTAAGTATGAAATCAAAAAGTGACTCACCCCGTTCGTTATCATCGGAGCTGCCCCAGGTGTGATGGTGGGCATTCGCGTCACCTCCCAAAATTAGCGCCTCTCTCGTGCTGGCCACTAGGTCTTTAATGCAGGTAGTTGGCACCTCCTTGTCATGCGCTAGGTACATGGATGCCATCCTAATTGGTCGTCCGTTTGCACTTAGACTGACCGCTGTTGTGTCCTCGTCGCTAAATTGTGGAAGAAAGAGACACTTTAGTGTGATACTTATCAATATGCACGTCCTTGGTTTCCCCGTTGAGGCTCCACTTACCAGTCTGTAGCCCGGCGCTTTAAGCCCACAAATGTTTTGTCCCACCACCCAAGGTTCTTGGATTAGGACGATGTCGGCTGCCCCTTTAGCTGTTAGACGGAGCAGCAGTGCAGCTGAAGCTGCTTTACAGTGGTGAAGGTTAATCTGCAGTACCTTCACCATCTTGGCCGTTATCGCCCACGTCGCCTATTAGGGTGGAGTTGACCGCGTCTTCCGACATCTCGATCAACTCCTCCTCCGTATAAAGCCGAAGCATGCGTCCGACCCCCAGCGAAGACGTCGATGAGGCATAACCCCCGGTCAGGTCGTCCATCGGATCAACCTGCTCGGATTCTTCCTCCATCTCCACGTCGCTGTTGGCCTCTTCCGGCTCTACCTCCGCGATCAGGTTCCTCGCTGCGTTTACGTCGTTGCTGTAGACCTTAATTTTGGCCATGTCACAGCCGTAACGTATGACCCCGCTCTTTTGCTCCAACAACTCTATGGAGTCCTTATTTAGAAGCAGGACAACCTGCATCGTCGCTTTACCGCTTTCGTTGATTTTGACCACCTTCCAATTATCGGTAGGTAGCTCCGGATTATAGAGCCTTATGGTTTGGAGGATCCTTTCTGGCTCCGCTGGCTTGCAAGGCAACCATGCTCTCGCTCTCGGTCGCACCGGTAGGTCCTTGAAGTCGACCGCCCTGAGCTTCGCACCAGGGTAGACTTCTCCAATACCTGCAACTGTTTTCTTGTAGATCTCCGCTGATCTGGCATCCTCGCATGCTATAACGCGGATGTTATTTTGGAACCACCCCGCTCCCTTGCAGGTTGGCGGAGGTCCCGGATTCTCCAACATAATGTTGATAGCAATGTCGGCCATCGCGGCCTTAACCCACTTCCATTGCTGCCTCAGGGTGAGGCTGTCTTCATTGCTCTCATCGATGACGCCGAGCAGGATCTGCTCCTTGGCTACTTCAGCAAAAGAAGGCCCCTGCGTTCTGACCCTCTTTGCGTATTGGTTGGGCGTATTTTCCCCCGATCTATTGCGCTTACTGGAGGGCGCCTGCGGCTGCTTGTCCTCCGGCTTGCGGTAGTCGGGCAGGACTGCCTTTGCCCAGTCGATTTCTGTGAGGATCTCCTTCACATGCTCTTCTTTCGCCTTGCTACACAGGTCAGGCGTTGCGGTGAACCTTTGCAGGATTCGAGCAGCTAGCTTCCTCTGCCGATAGCCCGCTGCAGCTGGTTCTGGCCTCTGGTCAGGCCTCGTGAAGGCCGTGGGTGTCGCGGGAGGACCGCCCGGGGCCTGCGCCCCAGATTCAGCCTTATCCCCGGCTGCAATCTGCATGCCAGGTTGGCGTCCACTGGTGCCAGGAGTTTCCCGGGGTGGACTCCTTTGAGCAGCCCCACCGCCACTTTCCATCGTTTTTGCGAGAGCTTGGCCCGGTTTCACCATTGGCCTTGGTTTCCCGCTATTTGTCACCGCACTACGGCTGGTGGAGGTACTCTGCATCGCTTGAGCTCCTTGTTTAGTGGGCCGAGACCCTTCCGACGCTTTAAGGGGGCCGGTCCCTTTAAACATTGTTTTTGATGTTGTTGTTGCTGTTTTTGTTGTTGTTGTTGTTAATTGTTTCTTTTCCATAATAGATCCCACGGGCTGCGGAGAAAGGGGTTCGTCCACCCGGGCAGAGATCCGCGATGCCCAGGTAAGGCCTACTTACATCCTGGGTGTGGCCGCCTCCCAGAGGGCTCCGTTCGCGACTGGGCTATTTAGGGGCCCCCAGCCTGGCCGATCCTCGGTACGGTGCGCGTGACGCCTTGATCCAGCCCCTTCAGACCTCCAAGCCACGATCAGAAACCATTTCCATATGACTACGCTATTAAGGAGTTTAGCACATAGCACTGATTCCTGATCTTAGCTGAGCACCATTCTGACATCGCACAGAATCCTCTGTAGTGCCCATTACCAGTCAGCACCCTCGTGGAGGGTTCAGCCGGAGGATTTTTTGCCGACTATTTGAACGATTTAGGCGGCCATAAACAAATTTGTAAAAATTTTAAGGAAACTTAAAAAATTAGTGCCGTTCAAACGGATAGAGAACATTCCAAATAACATTTCCTAGTCCGCCTTCCTTTTTATAAGCTTTTTTTACCTTGCACAGCGAACGCTCACCGTTGACCGGAAACAGAATATTATAACGCTGCTTAAAAATAAATTTTCGCTCTCTGGAAAGATCGTGACGGTTTTAAGTTAATATTTTGATTTCTGCATTATATTCTTAAAAGGGAGTGATGGATCCGCATACAGAAGGTAATAATGCATATAAGTGTTAAATTTTTCTAATAATTTTATTAAGCAAAAGTTCAATCTAAATGTAACGAAAATAGCGGTTTTCAACGACTACTTTTATACCCGAGGGTACTTGTGCACAAGGGTATTATAATTTTGTTCATATAACGGTTGTTTGTAACAGCCAAAATGAGTTGAGTATAGACAAATGTATACATAAATTATCAGAATGAAAAGAGAAGTCGATTAAGCCATGTTTGTCTGTCCGTCCGTCCGTCCGTGTACACGATAACTAAAGCAAAAAATTTAGATATATCAATGTAATTTGGTATGTTTATCCAAGGTAGGTTGGTATTGAAAATAGGAGAAATCGGGCTATAACCACGCCTACTTCACATATAACGGTAGTTTTAAGAAATACGAAAACTGCGATATTTTAGTAACTACTGAAGCTAATTCACTGAAAATTGATATTTGCAATGATCTTTAGACGTAAAATAAGAATACAGTGAAACCCGCTTAAGTACCTAACCCGCTTAAGTAACCAACATTTTTAGACACCGTGAATTTTTTAATATAATCTGAAGCAAATCCCTCTCTTATGTACCTCCCCGCTTATTTACCCAACCCGCCTAAGTACCTACATTTTTCGTGTCCCATTTACAATTTTACTTAGAATTTTTCCCTTTTAAGTGCCCTAAATATTTATATTTAAAATATTTACGTATTTTGAAATTCAGTAGCAGCGCAAACACCTTCGGCAAGAAAAATTCTAAAAAATCAACGGTAATTTTTAGCCACTGGAAACTTGCACATTATAACACCAAAATTGAATGGGCTATAAAACTGTGTACTCAAAAAACACTTCAGAGAAAAAAGTTTGAAATTATGATGAATCTTTTTTTAGTGTTCTACAAAATCATAAGCTTAGGTTTTTATGGTATTTGTTAGGGAATGAACTGTATTTGAATTGGTTGAAAAATCTCAAAAATTAATAAATAAACATAAGTGGCAAACAATATCATTTTGAATTTGGTACAAAATGATATGTCCAACTTTGACTTTTTAAACAATTAAATTCTTGTAAAAATGACATACCATTGCACTATATATTTTTTTAAATAAAGTTTTTCTTTACTTGTTTATGTGTTTAAATAATGCTACGAGTTTGGTTTTAAACAATGTATACTTTATTAAATGTTGTTAATCAAGTATTTATGTAAGTTAACAGGAAGATGTATCTACATCAGTAATTATGTTCGCTTAAGTACCCGCAGTCAAGTCAACAAAGAAAATCTCTGATCAAAATGGTAAAATGGCCGTCTTAGCTGAATTCGATTCAATCGACACAATCAAAGCGGTTTTCAAAAATATTAAAAAACTGGCTGGTGTAGCTATTTATATAGAAAAAGATCTTAATGAAGATAGACAAAAAAACAAGAAGGCTATGTTACAACTAAAAAAAGAGATTCTAGTAATTAGTAACCGTCATAAAGTAATAGTGAGAAATGATCGCATTAAAATTGGTAACCATTGGCTGGCATTCACTGGCACCAAGAGCGAAAATTGATGGAGGGGCGAACAAATGCAATTGACGTTATAAAGAAATTATATCCAACGGATTATGAACGATTCTCTGTCGATTTTACTTAACTGCTCCACAAAAATAGCTCAAAAAACCAATAAACAAAACAAATATCCAAAATAACCAAGACCCTACTGTAGAGCGTAAATCTTTTTTGAATATCACATTTTGGAACGTCCATGGCATCGCCAATATCTACAATGAAACGTCTCTTGCTAAAGCACACATAATTGAATTGAGCGAAACCTGGCTGCAAACTGAATTTAACAATTCACCTTCACCATGGAACCACTTTCAACACTTCGCAGCTGCTGCAACAAGAGAAAAATCTTCAGGCAGGGCAAGCGGTGGTCTGATATCTTTAATAAACAATAGTTTTAAGTCATTTGTAATAGATATATCCCCCTTATGGATTTTCAATTGTATAGTTTTAAGTAACTTTAAATTGATAATTGGCTCTGTCTATGTCAAACCGACCTATGACATCGAGGCAGCGCTGGACCTTTTAGAAATTCTTTTAGATGAAATTTCCCATAACTACGGTAATGTCCCCATCATAATTGGTGGTGATTTTAACGCTCGAGTTGGTAGCGAAAGTAGCTGCGATCTCCTTCTAGGGCTAAACTCAATTTTAGAGACAGTACGAATTTCTGCGGACAAAACAGTTAATACTCGGGGCAAACAATTATGTAATTTTATGTCAAAAAATGGGCTTATTCTACTAAATGGGCGCATACCGGGCGACATACCAGGAAACTTTACCTTTTCAAACAGTAATGGAGAAAGTGCTATAGATTTGATATGGGCAAACGTAGGAGATATTCCTCACATCAAAAACGTCGAGGTGTTATTTGACGTAGTAAGCTCAGACTACTTCCCTATAATGTTGAGTACAAATATACCGCTTAATAGTGATGCAAGAAATAAATCTGGGGGAATTAAGACAACACACAAGAAACAAATATTGAAATGGCACGCTACGAAAGCACCACAATTTATTACACTTCTGAGTGAGGAGGATTGCCTTTCTCACTGCGACATTATTAATGCTTCAGTTGAGACGCAATATTTAAACCTGATAGACTCAATAAAAAGGTCAGCTCAAAAACTCAATATGTTAAAAACCAAGTCAGGGAAATCACCAAGCTACTTCAAAAATCCCTGGTTTGATCAAGAGTTTCTTAGCAATAAACGTGAGCTCAGAAAAGCACTCAGGCTGTAAAAAATTCATCGTTTAGTAGTGAACATAAATCAAATTATGTAAACTTAAAAGTAGAGTATAAAAAGTTGCTAAGTAGCAAAAAAAAGAGCATACGACGTAGCTGTCAAAAACAAGTTTGCTAATGTAAAAAATTCAAAAGAGTTTTGGAGTGTCATCAGAGAATGCGACAAAAAGTATCCAATATCAAACCCTATTCCGCTAGTTGAATGGGAAAAATTTTATTACGAAATTTACCCACGGCGCATACTAAGAGACCTAACTTTTTTTGGAACGTTTGATGAAACACTAGACGACGAGATGTCGCTCACAGAAATCAAACTTGCAATCAAAGCCTGCAAAAATAACAAAGATCCAGGTCTGGACATGGTTGGGGGAGAATTTTATAAATGTCTCCCTGATGAAGGCATAGACTATTTGCACTCATTATTTAATAGTATCCTATCACATGGTAGTACCCCTGAGTCTTGGTCACAATCTCTCTTAGTACTGTTCCATAAGAGCGGAGATCCAAAAAATCCATTGAACTACAGAGGTATCGCACTGAGTAATACAATTTCAAAAATTTTTACAAAGATTCTTTCGCACCGATTAACTAATTGGGCTGAAGAAAACTATGTAATCCCGGAATCTCAAAATGGTTTTAGAAAAAAAAGAAGCTGCACTGATAACATTTTCGTTCTGCAGTCTGCTTTACAGATTCATATGAGACAAAATAAATCTTCTGTTTTCGCCCTATTTATCGATTTTCGTCGAGCTTTCGACTCAATTAATCACGATCTACTGTGGCAGAAACTATATGCAAAAGGCGTGAGTGTTAGATTCATACACTTAGTAAAATCCCTTTACGAGCGTGCATCGTTTGTCACAAAGCATTGCTGTAACGGAGGGAGTTTTACAAGGGGAAATTCTTAGTCCTCTTTTGTTTTTGCTATTTATCTCAGATTTTGAAGATGAGCTGCGAAGTGAAAATATAGAGGGAATAAATATCGCCGGAAAAACTGACTTACTCCTTCTATTATTTGCCGATGATGCGGTCGCACTCGCCAGCTCTCCAGTAAGACTACGTAAAATACTAAAGGCTCTAGATAATTACTGCACAAAGAACTTTTTAAAAGTTAACACTAGTAAGACCCAAATTGTACACTTTAGGAAGGGTGGAAAGGCCACAGACGCCAACTTTTTCTTTCAAGGTCAAAAAATAGATATAGTCAAAACATACAAATATCTGGGTGTTACGTTTTCATGCTCCACGCTGGGGAAAGCGGCTTCCGACGCCGCGATAAAAAGTGGAAACAGCGCCCTAGGCGCAGCTTTGCAAACACTGCATCGATGTAAGGCTGACTCTTGGGACGGGAGGGTCAAACTCTTTAATAGCGTTGTTTCCGCAACCTTACTATACGCGGTGCACGCTTGGGGATTGAGATACACGAATCAACTGGAGATTGTTCAGTCGTCATTTTTACAAGAAAATTCTTGCTTTACCAAAAAGTACGCCTAACGCACAACTTAGATTAGAGACAGATACCCTGAAACTCGAATCAAAAATATTCAAAATGGGTTGGAAATATATAATCTCTCTACTGCAAATGGAACAAAATCGCCTCCCAAAAATTTGCTTCCTTAGACTGGTTTATTATCATTTAAACACAAATGCGGAACCTGAATACAACTGGGTAACACAATTCAACCAATTCTTAAACAAAATTGGTTTATCTCATATATGGGAGACGCTGAGCTCGGATGCCTGGAAAGCTTTAGAGCAACTAGCTTTTGAGCGCATTGATCGTCTTTTAAAATTTCAGGATGTACTAAGTTGTTCCAATTCTCCCTCCATGAACTGCAAAATTTTACGATCACTCGACGAAAGTGTGGCCCCATATCTTCTCTTTAGGAACAACTTCTACAT